GGTAAAAGCGGGCATTATGACTTGTGATGCTGGTCGGGATTCGAATGTATATTTATTAGAAGCAAATCGGATGCAATCGTTACGTTGATTGATACTAGAATTGTAACGTATTTGTTGTAGATGGAATACTACGAAAAAACAAGCCACAATACAGCTGACGACAGCGCCTGGCTATATATAATCGCAAAAGAACCAAACCAACAAACCCATCTCTCAACCCCGACTGCATTATTGATCGATTGGCGCGCGTTGCAAGTTTTCCGAGCAGAAGAATCATGGAACTTTCAGGCGCAGATTTGTCAGTGGATTAGTAGAAATGACCAACGAATGAACCGCCTGGCTTGTAATGTAGCGCGCGGCAGCTCCACAGCATCCGGCTGAACGTCTGGTGTGTGTGGCATTTGCTGACTGATTTGGTTAAGCACGCGCTCTTGACTTCCCTTCTGGTCATTGCCGCGCGCGAGGATTATCAAATCTTGGTCGTGGGCGCTGGACGGGCATATCTACACGGACCGTGGCCAATCCTGGAGATTCAATTCTTGCCATCCACACGGAACAGGCAGAGAGATTTGGATGGAATTTACTAGCATCGCGTTAGAAAATAGCGACCCTGGTATCAGTCTGGGGTCGAAGAGCATTTGTAGCTTGTATCACCTAGGTAGTACCTAGTAGTGTGCTATGCATCGGTAAGTTGAGAAGCATATCGTAGTGGAAAATGACCGCCGTAAGTACACCCCTGCATCGATCGATATCTTCCTGGCGCGCGTGAAAAAGCCGCTAGCCATTTGACGGTCACTATCACGCCAGAAACCGGCGCTTTCCAAGTGGAGGTGAGATGATACTTTAGACGTTGGGACTTGTGAAGATGGAACTAGGGGGTATCAGCCACCAGCTATTTTTCTTTTGGTAAAAGGAAAGAAGTCATTGTATGTTGAAAGGATCTATTGCACTTAGTGATAAAGACACTACTGCTTGCTCTGACCTTCTCCACCCGAAGATGCTGCAGCCTTGAGCTCTTCTATCGTTAAAGAAAACTCCGCGAAATGCTCCTCCAGATGCTCTATAAATGACGGTGTGGGGATACTACCGGCCTTCAAAAGTGTGCAAAAGCCCAACCCTCTCCCGGCAAGTTCTCGGACTGCAGCCTCGAAACCCACTCTTTCCGTACTTGCATCCTTGGTGAGACTTATCAGATGTTTGTAGGCCGCACGAGTTCCCTCCGGCGGCTGTTTTGGTTTTGAATGTACCCCTGTTCCTGGTGCAAACTGGCGCGCGATAAGATCATTCGCCTCGGCTGTTGAAGAGAGTTGCGGGGCAATCTTATGAGTTATTTTCGCTCCCGACTCTTTGTCAATGGTCACGATGAACCGGATAAGGGCAGAGGGATTTTCGAGCCTTGGTAGGAGTTCATCGACCCGTGAGGTGCCTCGACTGGCCTCATCAATATCGACAGCCAGCCCCGAAAGTAGTTGAAGGAGTAGAAATTTGAAATCTACCTCGTAGATGATGCCAGGTGACGTTGGACGAAGAAAAGTGCCCAGCTGAGTCAACCACGTCCCATTCAACATCGACACTTCCCCGGTTTCCTTGAATCGTGCGATCACAAGGGTGGTGCCGCTCAAGTCTGGGCATGTAAAGGCCATACTTACTGCTGCCATCAGAAGGTGGCGTGCGGCCTCGCTCCCAAGGTGGTCTCCATCATCAATCGACCTGTTTCCAGACGAGAGCAGGTTTGTGAAAGCCGAGCCCTCCCTTGCGAAAGGCTCCATGCGCCCCATTTCCTGACCGAGGTTCACACCATAGGCATGCGGATCTGCGCCCATTGAAATCAATGCCTGAACAAGCTTCACCGTCGGCATTTTATTTTTGCTGTAGTACAGAGACTGATCTGGATCCCACGCCTCACGTAGAACGGCAGTGGCCAGCTCTCTGGAGTCTGCCTTTTCAAGGCTTGATATGACGAAATCGTCCATGTGGTTGGAGTCTGTCAGGTGGCTAAGGAATGGAGGTTGCTTTTGCCAGAATAATCGGTCAGTCCCGATCGCGCCCTTGTCGTATTGTGTCTGGATAAGGCGTAGTAAGTCAGCAGCCTCGTCAATTCCCTTCTGGTCCTGATCTTTAGCCAAGAAAATGGCGCGCCAGACAAGCGTACCAGAACGCCCCATCAGTCCAAATTCGGAGTTGAGGAAGTGAAGGAGACAGAGCAAGCCTTTGACCAGCCTGAATTCCATCTCTCTCTTAGATAATGCGCCGTGTCTTAGTATATCTTGGCCAATCTCGGTGTCCGTCAAGAAATCATGAGCTGTGCGATGGATGAAATTAACTCCACCAAACAAGGCGTTCTCGATTTCTTTAGAGGCTTCAGGAACGTCGATACTAGTTGCATCTCCAACGTGCTGGATTGTATCTCCACTCATTGATACCGGAGTTACCCGTAAAAGCCCAGCGCATCGAGTGTGTATAGCGGCCGTGGTTTTGTTGCACAGGGCTATTACCTCAGAAGCGTTCAAAGTCTTTCCCTCTCTTAGAAGGGAGTCCTGGGTTTCAACGCTTTCTGCACACGCTATTTGGAACAACGTGGCCTGCCAGACTTCTGGAAAACCAGACGGAAATCCAACTTCCGGAAACATGGGAACTGGTCCTTTTTGGTCAAGGGCATAGTGAAAGAACCTTGCTGCTGTCTCCCGATAGACAGGGCTATTCTCATTGAGTCGCTGCCACATATCGGCGTATAAGTCCTTGAGTTCGCCGGGTAATTCTTTAAGGCGTGCAAGAAGTAAATCATGCGAATCTCCGTTTTGGATTCCCATCACAATGCTTCTTGTTGCCAGGTGGAGCCATAGGAAGACACCTTGAGCTTTGAAGACCAGATCATGGACAAGCCGGGAATGAGTATTATCCGATATAGTGTCAGAGACAAAGGGTTTAAGTTCTTTCTGCACAAACTCGCGCATTTCGGGTCTGGTGAGGTCCTCAAGTAGGATCCCAGGTACATTTTGCTTCGTCAGCCAATTGGTAACTAGTGTTTCTGGTCGGCTAGAAACACATATTTTGACATTCGGAAATTTGGATATTTCCTCAATCAACTTTATCAACGCGAAGAGACCGTCATTATTCGAAATCTCATCGAGGCCGTCGACAAATATACACAGCTGCCGGGAGTCGTTCTTGAGGATGAAGTAGAAGACGGACTTCAACTCTTCGTTCGACCAGTCATGATATGAGACTTTGGAAGACAAATCTGGAAAACGATCCAGTATCTGTTTCGCCGTTTCTGAACTCTCGCTCAGGATGCGGTAGACCAGAGAGCACAGAAACCCTTTGATACTGTTCTGGGGGGTAGATCCGATCTTCCAGAAAAAGTGCGATATAATGGCTGCCTCTGGACTCCATTGTCGAAGCAATTCCTTCGTCTTTTCGGTATCCACAATGAACTTGAGCAACGTACTTTTCCCCGAGCCTGGCTTCCCACGAATGCAGAACAATGAGTTGTCCGAGCACAGCCACTTCACGAAATCTTCCCAAGCATCATCAATCTCATCCTTTCTGCGGCCTGCGTCTTCAAAGCTTCTATCTTCAAAGCTTGAATCCTCACTCAGTCGGGTGTCCTTGGCGTCATCATTTTTGCTTGCCAACGCCTGATAAGAGGCGAATAAGCGCTTGAAGCTGGCTCGCTTAGAGCTCATCAGGTCATTGTATCTCTGATTCATCTCTGGGAACTTGAGACTTTTGAGCAATGTTTCGCGCTGAGCCTTGAGTTCCGCATCGATACTTAGTGCCTCCATCTCCTTCGTAATGTGTTCTGTAATGGCTTTTTGAGTCTTTCCCGATTCTTGGACCACAACTTCGCGAGTCCAATCATTCTCTTTTCTGACAAGCTCTTCTACCTTGGTATGGCCGCGAGATATCTGCGCAACAAGGATTTGCACGTCGTCTGCTAATTCCTTAAACTCCTCTTTCTGCTGTAGCTCAATTGCATCGCTCTGTGAACTACACAAGTTCTCGCGTCAGAATTATTTATCAATCGTTCATCACTGCACTTACCAAATATGCGCCATCATTTCCGTTTCCATTACAGCCCTGCAACGGGAGAGGGTACTTTCTAAGCCTTCGATCTTCTTCCGTTGGCTCGAGGCTTTGAGGATCGCATTCACGGCTTTGAAAAGGCTGCCCTTCTTCTGCGTCGCCGTCACAGAGCGGACTTCTGCTTCAAGCTCATTTGCAACACCAAGGCACTCTCTGGCCAGAGTGTCGAGCCTCTCGTTGTACTTGGAGGGCCGGGCTTCGGCCATGGTCTTACACCGACTTTGTATGGAGCTTGTGGCGTCAGACATCCGCCCCGCGTACTGCTCCAAATCATTATCGATCGTTGGTTTCCCATCATAGACTTTCTTGCAGTTGGATATTATTGAAGCTGCCACTTGAATGACCTGGAGAATGGCACTAGCGGCACCGAGAGCTTCGAGGCCGGTCGCCATTATGTGCTGGATATTTTGCAATATGACATCAAAGTACGGTGTCGAGGAGTCTTACCTCAGAAAAGAACATAAGCGGAGATACATACAGCCTCAAGGGAAGAATCACGTGACAACTTGCACCCCTTCTCAAAGCTTCAGTATATATAGAGACTTACAGTAAGTAAATAGGCAGGACACTATCGTTATATAAATATTAAAAGATCGCGGTATATGTAAACAGGGCAACTATGTATTCTCAGTGGTAATATAGGGCCATTGCTTCCACTGAACCAGAACACTGCCAGTGGCAAAACATTAATCCGAAGAATGAGGAATCATCTAGCGTGTATACAGTTCTCAATGATCACTATTAACACTGTACCAACCCTAAAAAGACCAATAGCCCAATAGGGTTGCTTCATGCTAGCTGTAGTGGGCAAATGATTGGGGGTTTGTATCTTTAGAGGTTCATGGTAAATTAATACCTCGCCATAACTAAATGAAGGCGATATTACACCACGTTCCTCCCTAACTGGCATAAAAATGGTTTCTGATACGAGTAAACCGGTAACGGGAGGAGGTACCGAAGAGCAAGTCTTAGGTGACTTCAAAATTTCTGACGACCTTTTTGCCTTCTCCATTTCCCCGGCTGAGTTTCTCACTTCTCGACCACAGATTCACAACCTCATAGCTGGCACTATTGTTTTTCGATCTCTGTTTGCCGCTCCTAGCGGTCCCAATCTTGAAACGCTCTTGATCCAACGAGCTGCCTCAGACTCATTCGCCCTCAAATGGGAGATCCCAGCGGGAACCGCAGATCTCACGGCTGATACTAGCATAGCTGGTGTTGCGGTTCGGGAACTTTGGGAGGAGACTCAACTGCGAACACGGAAGCTAACCCACTCGGTTGGGTTGGGCCTCCCTGATGACGTTTCTTATCTGACATTGGAGGGGGAAGCTGAAGATGCAAGGATGGATCCTGATTTGAATATCTTCTTATTGAGGGTTTCAGGTCTCACTTGGGCAATAGTAACCTTCATAGCCGACATAGAAGATAATCATGGAGCAGTAACTCTGCGGCCGGATGAACACCTGGCGTGGGCCTGGGTTTCTGAGGATGAAGTTAAGGAGGGACGATTTCGTCACGGCACAGGACAGAATCTGGAATTTGTGAGCGAAGCTATGAGAATGATTGTGCTGGAGGGTTTCAGAGTAAAAAAGGAACAGGGAACGGCACAAAAATGAGGGCGTAAGGTTGGCCTAGTCGATTATTTGCCTGTATGTTTTAGCTACTGCCACCATGGCAGGCAAGGAACGCTTGATTGTTATACATCATGGATGCTACAATTTATACCACTTTAATCTGCCTGGTGATATCATTGTAAAAGTCTCATGTGCTACTGTTTCATAAGGGTAGTGGCTTAGAATATATTAATCTTATTTCTGAAGTGTGCCAGACCGATATCTTGGAGCTGAAGCTGATATTATGATAGATCTATGAAGAATGTAATAGTTCAATGGTGAAAACCAACGAACAAGTGGTGACAATCTCAATCTCCGAGGTTGTTGGTGAGATACGATCAAGAATGACTCTCTCCCCAAGCCCCAACTCTACGTTCTGAACATCAGCTTCCAAGCCTTTGGTTGTGACAGTTGATGGTATCCCCGCCGGCATGATTCCAATATGGTCCCCGAACATAAGGGGGCTATGTTCCTTTATGGAAATGCTATGCCGGCCAGCTTTCAATATAAACGTCAAGCTTTCCCTGGAAACTAAAAATGACCTGCCACCAGAGTAGTCATTACCAGGGGTTGCTAAGATCAGGTTGTGAATTTGTCTTAGACCATGATCCATACGTCCTCCAAGGTCGCCAATTATCATTGTATCAATATTTTGGCCACAATTAGATCGCAGCCAGGATAGTACTTTTTCAAAATCCCAAGAGTCTTGGCCAGGAACAGAGATGATCTGGGTGGGCAAAGTCAAAGCGGTGAAATAGTTTTTGACGGGAACACTTAGTGAGTCGAGATCACCGATAATAGCATCCAGGCGAACCTGTTTCTAATCAGGGACTATTCGGATAGTTTTTTGAGGTTCTCTCACATCGTGATCAAGGTTAGGAGAGCCGGTGGACAAGAAAGATTCGTGGAGACGATTTGCGCCACCATCGGCAGCCACCCGTATGAAGGCTATATATTTGGGTTAGCTCAGATAGATGCAGAGGAGCACCTCAAGTTTTTGATACCATTTTTCCATAGCCAATCGAGAATGCGATTCCAACTGATCGGCTGATTAAGAACAACCATGGCGAACTTGGTGTCATGTGCTGGTTGCTGATCAGCATGTCCTAGGACTTGCCCTAGATGCCACTCAAATCGAGCATCCATGGTTCAGGTTGAAAGAAGACGTGGCATGAGATTGGAATGAAGTGATCATTACTGCATGTTGCAAAAAAAGAGAGCAAATGGCGCAACAAAACCAGCCTGGACAAAAAAAAAGAATCAGGTATTTCCCGCTTTCTTAAAGTGGACATCTTAATGGCAACATTTTGCCAAGTGTTGGGGTTCACGTGATCGGTAAAATCTTCTCCCAATCCCTCTCACCCATCCGCAATATAGTAGCGTTGTGTGCTTATTTTTACTACATGATATTCCCATCTCTAGTGCCAGTAGCGAGCATTCCCTTGGCGGGCGCATCAGGAATTATTTGTCTCGGCCGTCTTTTTATCACATCAGATAAGTTTCCTACGCCTGCTTGGGATCTTGGTTGTTTGAGTAAACCGTGTCAGAACATCTCAGTCTTTTGGAATGCACGTGTTGGTGCTGCCTTGTATATGCCATTTGAATTTCCAGTCAGCGGACAAACATTCAACTACGCGCCGGTGATTATGGCTGCTGTAACCATTTTTGCCTTTATCTCGTGGTGGTTCATCTCGGCGGACTAGTGGTTGCCTTCAAACCGTATCGAAGAAGCTTTAGCTGCGGATAACATGCTGTTTAGATGAAGTGTTTCTTCGAAGAACTGGGAATTTGGGACTGCCGAATCTTGAACCTTGACTGTATTGAGGGGTTCTTGGAACAAAGAAGGCGATAATTATGCAAGGAACTTGGCTCTATAGGGACCCCACCTCCGAAACCCCGCAAGCCTACTCATGCCTTGAGGATATGGTGAGTGCTCTCCATTGTTCAGAACCCCAAGATCTCAGTTTGCTGCGGAGAAAAGATAAAGATGGGTAGAGGGTAAGTAAAGCCATGGTTCTTGGAAGTACCAAGACAGTTGAAGAACGGTATGATCGGAGACTCGAAGGTCCCGGCGCATAAGATAGACCGAAAGCATCTTAGTGGTCGGTTGCAAATTAACGCTTAGGTTGGCAGCCAATATCTAGATGCAAACGAAGCTAAACACAAGCATCCCTTGGGGAGGCTGAATTATCTTTGGAATGGGAGAGCGACCCATTACCTCAGGCTCCCCACCCAAACTTCAGACAAGAACAAAAAGAAAATAGCTAAATAAAGGTGAGTATAGTTGCCTCCGACGATCTTTTGAGCTTGCAGGACGGTTGAATGAAGAGGACGAGTCACTTGGTTTCACTATGAATTGAATAAGCGACATACTATTCTGGGCCGATAAATAAGTTTATTGAATTGATATCACTTAACTCCGCTTGTCAGGGTTGAGCTTGGCATTCATGATTGTCATGATCTGAAAGCAACTAGACATCTTGCTGTTGCCACCGGATCGTTGACCTCTCCAAATCAATGACGTAGCTAGGGGACAAAAGAAGTATTTTTCCTTAAATAGGACTGGAAACAAGGGGGGTTTTCCATGTGGTCATAGAGTGTTTAGAAAACCAAGATAATTTAGCATGAGACCCTTGTTGGTATGATTATAAAGAGGCCCCAACGGTAAAAGCGATTAAATACAAGAAGAAGAAGAAGTCTGACGATTCTGAGGGGTCCTCATAAGTTCCACTCCGGTCCTGTTGTATCAGGAGGCCATTGCAGGAGGCCATTGCATTGCAGGAGAAACTGGTTGGTCGGTGGGTCTGACTCAGCCGGTGAATCGGATCTGGGATCAGTTCTACAAAACTCATGCCAAGGAATTGACTGGAGGATATATTAAATCTCCCATGAAACTCTTTCTGAGAGTTCTCTGCTGACCATGCTTCGCCGTGTTGTCCCATTACTAACCATGGACGAGGAAGACGCCAGAGGAGTCGATCTCCCACCAGAAATCTGGACAGAAATATTTTCTTATTTTCTCCCCCCCGAGCCAGAGGGAATCTTTCAACAGCACTTGCCTCAAGAAGAAGAGTACAGTGATTCCCTACGCCACCTCCACACATTCTGTCTCGTTTCCCGACGATGGCGCCTTACTGCCCAGCCGATTCTGTATCAGAATATCATCATCGACACTCCCAGTCGCCGTGGCTTGGATATGAAGCTATTGAGAACTCTTGCTTTGACTCCCGAGTTAGCCAGCCAGGTGCGGACTTGCAAGCTGCTTGATGTTGGGCGGCAGGGGCAAGGGGTGGGAAAACTACTTGCTGCCATCATACGGTCGATACAGGTACCCCCCAGGTACAGAAATCTCCTCAGAGCACAGTTGCTGGATAAATATCGCCCTCCCTCAGAGGGACTTGCGGCGATTACTCTTGCATTGGCAGGGAAAGCACGACGCATTGAGATTAGTCCTGGTCCCCAGCCTTACGGCCTGATTTGGATGCTGAGCGGATCACTTGATGTACAAGAGGGGAATCCTGAGAGCTTTTTTCATTTCGTAAATCCGCCGACGGAATGGAGCCATGTGACAACAATCCAAGGCGATGTTGCCAAAGGGATCAGTAGCCTGCCCTCTCGCTTACCACCCGCAAGAGATCCAAGCGAAGCCGACATTCGGATCTATGGCGCAAGAGCCTTTGCCAACTATGGGCTGCCACACCTTACAGACTTGCATCTTAATTTCGAAAATGAAGCCAACAGTCTAGTAGATGTGGCAGCTATCAAACTTCTTTTCCACCACCCTAGCCTGGAAATATTGCGACTTTCAAACATCAACTGGCTTACACTTCCAATGGAGGAGATGGAGTGTCACGCCATCGAGAACAAGATTCACACTATCGACCTCCGCAATTCCGCCGTTAATGCATTCTCAATAAGGCATATTTTAGCTAGTTTCCCGTCTCTACGCCACTTTTCAGCTGAGCTACATAATCCCTACCTTTGGAAACCACGAGAAAATGTACAAGGCAATGTGGTTTATGACGAGTACGAGTGGGAATTTGACTCTGCCGAGTTTGGTACTGTCCTAACAAAACATGGACGATGTCTTGTCGAGCTCAGATTGGACACATGGCAGTACTATGACGACGACTGGGAGGATATGTCAAGGACCCTCGGATCGCTTACTTGGATCCCTCTTCGCAAGCTAGAGATTGAGCTGCACGAGCTTGTTCACTGTATCAAGAATCTAGGCAATCATGAGATCGAAGTTCTCATGAGTGTTCTCCCTCTAGAGCTCGAGGAGCTGACCATTCTGGGCCCAAAAAGGGATATCTTGACTGGGATTAAATCTTTTCTGCGTAACTGCATGAGTAGGCCGCTTCGGGTGGTAAACTTGAAGATGATTGACTCGTCCCCTCTCGACGAGAGCGAAACGGAAGAAATTGATGGTTGGATTACGACACAAGACTGCGGGTATACACGAATCGCTGCTGGCCGTGAATTCGTTCTATCTGTGTCCTTTGTTAAGGTATGCGTTCCGCACTCGACATACGCCGAAACGAAGCTTTAGTTGTTGGATAAGAGGGAGCTGTGCATCGAAGATAGCTTAAGAAATTTGATTGGGAGAGAACCAAGTATCGCATGCTGGGTCAAGTCAGACTTGTTGATGGGCGACATGTGTTTAGGCTTGAGTATCCTCAGCGCTGCGGCAAACACTGGCCAGTATAGTAACAACGAGGCTATTAATTTAGGCAACTAGCTCAAGAAAACGTTCGGATAGTGGGGATGTAGGCGGGCAGGTTTCATCCGTTGCCCACAATCTTCCTGTTTCAACTCCCTCCTTAGCACCATCCCTGGCCAAATCAGTAGAACGGCATTGTTGACCCGTGTCTCAACACCCTGAGAACCCTGGAAATTTGTACTATGACTAATATTTTCTCAATAGAACGGTCGGGTTGGAAGCGGTCGCGGATGAGAAACGCCGCCGTCAGGACCTTTGCTGTTTCACTTACCGTGTTGGTCTACCTGGGACTACCGTAAGTTTAGCAGGTAGGAGAGGCACAGTAGCTAAAACATATTCTCATCTCAAGATGTATATAAGGCGGCCTTGATCATCCCACAAACAAAGAATTCTCTAACTACTCGCATCGTCACCAAAAATCCTATTCAAGTCATCTTTCATCACAACAACCGATCAATATGCATGCCGGGTATTTCGCTGTCCTCCTCCAGGTCGCTGGAGCCGCTTGGGCCATTCCATCTGTAGAGAAGTCTGCCGATATCGAGATACGTGCGGACGACCGCGGCAGCTACACCGTTTCTGGACTTGGAACTCGCAAGCAAGCCGTTCTTACGGCTGGTGGTAACACTCTGGACCTCGCCATCGCCATGCTCGAAACCGAGAACATGGGGACAGACTATGCTTACGGTATGTTTCCTGTTGAGATGTGATGTGTTGATGAGCCTGGGCCACGAGACTAAGGAAGGGGTAAAAATATAGGAGACAAAAAGACTTATGATTCTGCCAACTTCGGTATCTTCAAGCAGAATTGGGGCATGCTCCGTGTTTGCGGATCCAGGGCGGGCTTCGTAGGAAAGACCTCGAGCCAATGGAACGATGGTGCTAAGCTCAAGTAAGTAAACCACAGGTGCTATCCATATACATAACACAATTCCCCGTGATGGCAACGTCGTCCCTCCATCACCGGAAACTTTCTTTGGAGACGTCTAACCATTCCATAGCTCCGACCTCTATGCCGATGTTGCTTCCCGATGGGACTGCCAGGGATACTATGGTTACGATATCTGGTTCGCCGGCCACCGTAACGGTGCTAGTGGGCTCTCGAACCCTTACACCGATGATATCAACAAATACAAGACTGCGGTCCAGTGGATTCAGGCCCAGATTGATTCCAACTCCAAGTATAAGACCGATGATACTAGGTTCTGGGTCGATGTTGAAGCCATCTGAGCAATGAACGGCGCAATTTCCGCCTTCCCGCTGTGATAGGGAATGTGTTTGGTCACGGGGTAGGGGCCACGTGTTCCGTTCTCTTATCCTTCATTTGTTATCTAGAAGCAGGTCTTCTTGTTTTGTTTGATCTCAATATATAAGCCGTCGACGCGACTTAAGACACTCACTGCTTGAATGTGCTCCGCCTAACCTCGTATCACCCCGACGTTCTGTGTCAGTTTCCGTAAATCTAGTGAATGCCCACCTCATGTACCTCCAACCATACCACGGGCTTCCCCTTTTCTCGTATTTCTGAAAAAGGTACATTCAGGTACGCAAATAAGATGAGGGTCCTTAATAAAGAAATCTTCTCAGAGATATTTCTCTACCGCCTCATAATCTAACGGCGAAGCCAGAAGTGCTTAGTAGTGAGGGGATAAGCTTCTCACCTTCACCTCCTTTGTAACTTCAAATGCTTGCCGCACCCACTGGCCACATATTACTGACTCTCGGCCGTAATAATGAAGCATCAAGTCGATGCTGAAGGGCCAAATTTAATGAGGTAGATAAAAGGCATCCTTACCAGGTGATATTACGAAATTCGTATGTTTATCAAGTTTAGTTTGTTTGTTTCTCAGGAACCTAACCCCCGGTTTATGGCAGACAAGGGAAGCAACACTGTAGTGTTTGGAGCTCTAAGTTTTGGTGAAGGATTCAGATGCATATATTGATATCAAGCGAACTAAGGTCAGTTGCACTCAAGGTTGACCTAGGTATGTATACCTGGGTGGGTCTACTATGGTTCCCGTACCAGTGGCTTGGATGATAATCTCATCACCAGGAACAACATCAACACAGTTATCGTTTAATGTGATGTCATCCGATTCGTCCAGAACCAGTCCTTTGGTTGGTTTCTCTACAGTGACACGGTATTCCCCGCTAGAAAGTTCAACCTTGACACCCCTTTCCGAGAAATCAAGATATTTCAACGGCTGGGGCCAGTCGACACTGCGAGAAACACAGGTGCCATTCAAAAAAAGCCGCACAGCAATGACATGCGGTTCTTCGTTGACGTTATCAATATTGCCCGACAGGATCTCGGTAGTACTGTTCGCCTGAATCGAAACCTTGCTCTTCAGTATCTTTCTTTTAATGTCGCTGCCCGTCTTCACGGAGATGAACCGAATCTCTACGTCGACCTTGGATTCTATTTGCTCGCTACTGGCCACCCAAACGGCAAACGAAGATGTCTTTGCCGGTCTGGCGTGGCAAACACTCCAGTCGTGGTGCTCACGCTCGACTGCTACCGCGAGAGGCTCAAGAGCGCGGGCAATGGTATAGAAGGACGGCTTTTTGCGAAGGAAGTAGTCGACAATGGACCACGACGTGCCGGGCCAGCAGTCGTTGAGTTGCCAGACAAGAGAACCCCCGCAATGTCGCTCTTCTCCCCATTGACGCCGCCAGCCACGGTAGGCGTAAGACAGGGCTTCGGCCTGGCAGAGCTGAGTGAGGTAAATATGTGACTGGGCAATTGTTGGTTAGTTTAGTCGACGAACGGGCTCCGAACGCTTTGGACGTACCTTGAGGTCCTCTTTTGGACGAAAGTTCTCTACTAGATATGTCGCGATGCGGCGCTCATGACCATCTGCCTTGTTGTGGAAGTCCATGGTCTGAGATTGTGGGAAGAGCTCATCACGATTGGTGACAAAGTACTCGATGGTTTGCAGGACCGGGAATGCTTCCATGCCGAATTCGCTATTGAATCTACCGCCAAGCTGGCTGAAAGTTTGGTACTTTCTCTGCATACCGTGCCAGACTATCAATTGTCAGAGTTAGAAGACCATCACTGAATCTCAGGAAACTTACCATTCCATTGATGGAGATCGCCCACGGTCGGATCAGGCGTAGGTTTTCCATTGGAAAATGGAGAACCAGGCCAATATGCCACCCCTTTACTCTCCTGGGTAACCACCTGAGGCAAAAGATACTCATAATAGTATCGAGCTGGATACGTCGACTTGAGCCACGATTCAGGGTCCTTATCTTCGTAGTCGTATTCTAAATTCTCGGACTCTTGAACTTGATAGTCTTCGTTGTTTCCAGCAAAGATCACCACGGAGGGATGGTGTCGCAGCCGACGAACGTTTTGCTTGGCTTCTTCGCGGATAGAATCGATGAATGAAGGCCAAACGGGATAGTTTCCGCAGGCAAACATGAAGTCCTGCCATACTAGAATGCCCAGTTCATCGCATGCGTCGTAGAAGGCGTCTTCTTCGTAAATCCCCCCACCCCAGACTCTAGCACTTGGTCAATGCTTTGATTTTCTAAGAAACGTGAGGTTGACTCACCTGGTCATGACTTGATTTCCTTTCACCATCAACTCCAGCCACTTTTTGTACTTGTCGGCCGTGATTCTTGGAAGGAGACTATCGGCTGGGATCCAGCATGATCCACCGCAGAACACATCAATCCCATTGACCCTAAAATAGAAGGATTGCCCGTGTGAATCATCAACCTGGACTAGCTCGCTTCGTCGGAAACCGGTTTTCCTGCTCCAGCTATCCAGAGTCTGGCCGTCCTTGAGGATGTAGACGTCCACATCGTACAGGGGCTGGCCTCCATATCCTACAGGAAACCAGAGTTTGGGGCCATCTGAGTAAAATTGAATCAATATGAAATGATTCTAGGCTTTGATGTTGACATTCACTTACTGATGGTAAAGGGAATTATGACCTTTCTTCCCAAGGACGCTGCTGCCCCGCAAAGTTCCAACGTTGTTGTCGACTTATGAAATACTACATCGTCCTGAAACTGAACAGAGACATGGATTTCGTCAAATTCACCTTCAACATCAACGTTGATATTGCCGTTGACCTCCTCCAGATCATGGGACAATTCGTACTTGACAAATACATCGCTAATGTTCGCCCAAGAGACTTCAAGCCGAACCGGCCTCCAAGGACCTGCAGTCATGAGCTTTGGACCCCAGTCCCATCCCTATTATCTAATTAGCTTTTCTTTCACGAAAGTTGAGAGACCAAACTGCCAAAGCTCAACCAAGACTTACCCAATGATACTGAGCCTTTCGGGCTGCGAGACGCCCACCCTCTCCGTTAAAAAGCACGAATTTGTGATCCGGATGCTCGTCCTTGAGTGCCCTCGCGCGAAGCATGGCACTATCGAAGTGGATTACGAGAGTATTCTCGCTCTTGATGATTTTGGTGATGTCTACCCGGTGGCTGAGAAACATGTTGTCACTCTCTAAAATGACGGTATTGTTGAGTTGAACATTGGCGAAGGTATCGAGGCCATCGAACAAAAGGTACACAGATGCACCCTCTGCATCTTTGGGACTCGTAAATTTCGTGCGGTAAGTCCAGGACCTCTCTTCCACCCATTCGGCATCAATCTCCTTCAGATCGCGAAAGGGATCGGAAAGGCTGTGTTTTGGGCACATGAATATGGAAATCGTATTTTTTTCGAGCAAAGAAGGAAACTCACACGCCATTGTCCATTAAATCCTGGTGCACTACCGTCGGAACACGAGCAACAGGCTTCCAATCCTCGTTGCCATCTTGGCTGCTCTTGAACGACCAGCCCAGCTCTAGGGGTGTTCT